TTTAAATTTTATTGGAGCATAGTTGATTTCATTTGCATTTTTTAACTTAAATTTTATTGGAGTATAGTTGATTTCATTTGCATTTTTTTAATTTAAATTTTATTGGGGTATAGTTGATTTCATTTGTATTTTTTTAATTTAAATTTTATTTGAGTATAGTTGATTTCATTTGTATTTTTTAATTTAAATTTTATTATAGTTGATTTCATTTGCATTTTTTTAATTTAAATTTTATTGGAGTATAGTTGATTTCATTTGCACTGTTTTAAGATGCTATGTTTGTAGTAATATTTTTACAGCAAACACAGGAAAATAACGTGGACTCTTTTACATCTCTAACTTGTTAGGACACGAACCTGACTGTGTAAAGCTAAATTTAGCACCTGCACCTTCCTACAGCAGCACCATAAATTAATAACCTTCCCAACTTTCCCAGTGATAATCTTTAGCATTACCAATGGCGCTATTCTCTCAGAGTTATGTTTGTGTTTTCTCTTTCACCTGTATTTCTAATGACAAATTCCTGAGATTCCTTTTGTTCAAAGTTGTTAGTACTCATCACTTCATATTCTCTACTGCAAAATTTCGGAAACAGACAACACAAATATAAATACATTTGCCAAAATGCCCTTCTCATTTTTTGGCTTCTGATTCATACTCAAGGCCAATATCAAATTGTTTCACAAAGCTTCCCATCAGGAACTCTGCTGTCATTGTGTTGGGCTTTTCCTTGCTCCCATTACCCATATTAGTTGTTCCCTTTCCACTTTTTATTTTATGTTGATTCTTCCCTACCTCCTCTCCAGCTAAATTTAGCATGATATTACACACAGAGGACAAATAATAAATAATATGTAGGAAAATATGAATAAATGAAATTTCTTCAATACAAAGTTGAAGATTCATTTCTCCCAAGATGCTTCCTCTGACTCAACATATTATCTGTCTTACAAAATAATCATTAGCATTATTGTATATATTTTGCTATCTAATCTTCAGCATGTTTACATATTTCAGCTGTTTGAGGAAGTTTTGGTATCCCAGAGAAGGAATGTACAAAACGTATATTCTTTTCCCTAAATATTTTCATTAATTACATACTGTGTGACAGGCATCAAGAATAGCAATAAACAAGAAGATACCATTCTTCTCCCCATGGAATCTGAAATGTTTATTTTTCTTTTGTCCTTTAACTTTAGAATTTATATACTAGTCGATTAGTTTTCCAGGGTTGCCTTAACAAATTACCACAAACTGGGTGGCTTAAACCAAAAGAAATGTATTCTCTCAGTGCGGGAGGCTAGCAGTCCAACATCAAGGCATCGGCAGGTTTGGTCCCTTCTTGGAGCTCTGACAAAAATCAGTTCCATGCCTCTCTTAGGGTGGCTCCTAATCCAATATAATTTCATTTTCGCTTAAGTACATCTGCAAAGACCTTATTTTCAAATAAGATTACATTCACAGGTACCAGAGATTAGAAGTGAACTTATCTTTTGGCGGGGGACAAAAATGCAACCCACAACACGTGGGTATAACCTCTGGGAAATAAGGCATATAAATGTTTACTGAGTAGATTCAGCCCAATTGGAACCAGAGTAGTGGGCCTGCAGGGGCCCCGTTGGCATAAACTTCTCTGAATCCCTGATTCAATGACGTTCTTCAGCTTCCCTGATTTCTCAGGCACAAGGACAAGGTCATGTAAGGTTCTTAATTCCTTGTTCAAAAGCAATGATTAATTTTTCAAAAAAATATATAACATAATTCTTATATCAAGTTTCTCAGTGGCATAATGACACTTTTTTAGCTCTCAGGAACATCACACTTCTTTTGACGGAGTCTGTTGCTTCTAAAAAAAAAAACAACTTTTGGACAGAAGTTTAGTTGCTTATTAGTCATTCTTTTGACAGTTTTCTCTTTCAGCTCCACCTCTGTTCACTTGTAAGATATCATTTGTTCTCTATCCAAAATATCTCTCATTCATCTACTAACTACTCTCCCTCCTTCCTTCTAGAAGATCTGGGAAGCTACAGCGCGCTCCCAACTCTTTTCTCTGCCTTTCATCTCTCCCTGTTCCGAGTATTCTTCCCCAGAGCTGGCTGCTAGATCAATTTTCTGAAGACCACCACTTATTACACACCTCTCATTTTCGCAAATATTTAATGTCTCCCCATTGCCTATAGAACGATGCCCATATATGTTAGTCATTCCTCCATGCTCTGAAGCCAACAGCCTATTTAAATGGTTTTCTCATCATTTGCCATCTGTAGCACACATGCTAGTCACGCTGAGCCTTAAGCCATTTTGAATCGAAAGTGAAATTTTTCTGTGTGCTTTTCCTCCTGCTATTCTTTTTGTCTGAAGTATCTTTTTTTCCTCAAACTGTAATGTAAACCCTTCCTTCTCTCTAACTCAAATTCCACATTTAACATGAACTTTAATTTATATTTCTAAACTGGAAGCTACAAAATCCTCTTTGGAAATCCCCTGTGCCTTAATCTGGACTCGTTATAGCATACAGGTCTAGTTAGTAATATAATTCGTTTCTCTTTCTGTATATATTATTCAGAAAGGTATTATACTTTTTATGTTTATAAATTATATCCCCAGAGCTTGAAGACAATACAGTTTATATATTTGCTTCACTTACCTATCCCTTGGAGTCACCAGCAAAATTTCCTGTGCATGTAATCAGTCAATATTTGGTGAGAAACTGAATGAATCAAGCAGGTGCACTCACCTTGTAACTACACTGGTTGCAGTATATCAAACAGTTTAATTAAATGCAAAGAAAACCAGTTTGCACCAGCTTTTATACAACAGGCAAAACACAGCGACCCACTTTCCCTAATCACTCTTCCAGTGTTCTAATCATTCGCCCTGGAGGAGTAGTCACCTCAAACAAGGACCTTGGAGTTTTTGCTTCAGCCCTTTGCTGCTGTGGCTGCTGGATGAGGCGCAAGACCACACTCCCAGGCTGACAGAAATCCCTCCTGTCAGATGGCAGCCTCATGCTGGCAGCTGTAATGACTGAATGTCTGATGTTCCCGAGTCTAATCCACCGTTTCCCTGTAGTTTAGTCACACTTCTGTCTTACGCACACACTGCAGACACTGACCCACATTGCCCCCTGGGTTTGGTGCCTGCAAGCCTATTTGTTTGTTGTTTGTTTTTAATGGGAAGATAAGTGATTTCTCTGAGCAAGGCGGGTATTAACACATTCAGAGAGGATGTTATTTTCCCTCATAGGGAACTAGAAAACTTGGCTGAGATTTGGTTTTGGAGTTTCTATTATATATTTACACCATTAATTCTCCAAACCTCAAGTCACAGTGAGGGGGGAGATATAAATAAAAAGAGATGGGAATTTGGAAGATCAGTATGTGGAATAGGAAGATGTAGATTATAGAGTAAGGATGCATCCTTACGGAAAGATTCCTTTTTCCCAAATAACTTAGATTCTCTTTTTAATCAATGAAGGAACTTATTGCTCCCGATATTATGTTTTTTCCCTCCCTTCCCTGTGTCATGAGAGACTGAACAAAACTCTGAAATTACTGGAAATACCGCAGAGTATTGTTTGATTGCTCTTCTTCAAGGTTTAATTGAATCCTGGTCCAGGGACCGGTAGAGATTTATATCTGGTGGGCCCTCAATGGTAGAGACAGATCACATAAAGCCTATGTCTGACTTCTGTCTTTCCTGTCTTCCCTCTCTCCCTCCTTTCTTCCTATCAATTAAAATTTGTGTTCTGTTCTTATGTACCTAGTCCTTTGCTGCTCATATAAAATGTATGATGAAAGAAACATTCTTTCATTTCAAGCAATTACTGCCTGGAAGGGAAAAATAACCTACCAGGTAATTACATGGTAAGAATAAGTTACAATTAGGCTGTTGACAACTCAGATGAAGGTGTTGTCTGAGAAACAATCCCTAGGGGCTGGAGCCTATTTACCAAGTGAGAACAGTGAGAGAATTTAAGAGGCCACAGTTTCTTTTCAGCTCTTACATGAAGTTTATATATATATATGTGTGTATATATATTCCAAATGTATATATAGTATTTGAAATATACATGCATATTATATATAATCATTTTGAATATATATGCATATGGAATCACATACTTCTATATGTACATGTAGTTTCATATATGTGTATATAACGTGTGTGTGTGTCTGTTCAAGCTATATACAAGCTAAGCAGAAGATCTAGCTAAATAATACTGTCAGATAAGAGGTGGATTTGCAATCAGTATTCTCATGGTCAACTGTATTTTAAAATGTCACGTCTTTGCATATATTATTATAACAAATCTGCTGTGGTGATAAGTGTTTTCTAATTTAAAATGGTGAGTTGCCAATGATAATAGCAATTTCTTTACTCTATTTCAAATTACAGAGGATCCTGGGTAAAATTGTGCAGTTAAAAAAGTATGTTAGGATCCAGTACCTTGATTTCCAAAAATGATCAGATGCTGACATTGGTAGCGAGTTAGAAAAAGTTCTGTGCTATAATGAATGACTTTTGAACAGTCTCTGCTTCTTTGTTAGTTTCTGAGTCTTTTTAAGAGATTGATTATATATGTGATACATTTTTTTACTTTATTTATTGTATTTATTTTATTTTTGGCTGTGTTGGGTCTTTGTTACTGTGTTCAGGCTTTCTCTAGTTGCAGCGACTTGGGGCTACTCTTGGTTGTGGTGCGCGGGCTTCTCATTGCGGTGGCTTCTCTTGTTGTGGAGCACGGGCTCTAGGCGTGCGGACTTCAGTAGTTTTGGCTCATGGGCTCTAGAGCGCAGGCTTGGTAGTTGTGGCTCATCGCGCATGTTGCTCCGTGGCATGTGGGATCTTCCCGGACCAAGGCTTGCATTGGCAGGCGTATTCTTAACCACTTTGCCACCAGGGAAGCCCTGTGATAAATTTTTAAATTGGTCTTTTTGTACAAAATTAAATGTATTTCCCTCTTCTGATTCGGTTTTCTTTGTCTTTTTTGTTTTTAGTGAAAAATACTCCCAGAATCCACATACCACATCAGAGGGAGTTGGAACTACCCTGCCTGTGTGGTTTGTTACCCACTAACTGTTAACATTGATTAGAACACGGGAATTGGGCTTTCTCCAATTGTCACCCCCAGGATTCTCACAAGCTGGATGTATACGAAGTAAAATGACCTTCTTAATTAGAGGAAAACTATCCAAGGTATACAATTGCATTTTCTATATTAAATTTGATTTTGTTTTACCTAATTCTTGTTTACATGTAATTCATATATTTATCTACAATGGCTAATATTTTATCATCTTATTCATGTTAATATATTTTCTTATATTTTGCTTAAGTTTCTTGTTATTCTTATAAAATACCAGTTACACCAGATTTCCTAATTCAATTTGTTTCAATTCCGAATCCTTTTCTAGCTCTTGAAAACATAAACCAGGAGACTCTAAACCTAACATATGCAACCAAATGATGCTTTGATTTGCCAGAATGAATACATCATCATACTGGAATCTGGCTGCTATGGCCAAGATCTTTACTCATTTTATATAACACGATTTCCTTTTATGGTTTCATATTCACTCTTCCTTTTTTTTTTTTTTTTTTTTAATCATCCAAGCAATTTTTTTTAATTGTCAGAAAAAAAGAATCTAATTCTTCCTCTAATTGAGCTTAAGATTTTGCTATAAATCTGACATACTGCTTTCTAAATAGGAATTTGCTTGGTTAGCTTAATTATATTTTGTGTGTTATAGGACACGTGATCCCATGATTACTTATACAGAGAAGAAAATCTCTATCAAATAGATAAACTATTTAATGTGTTCTCTTATTTTTTAGTGAAATCTTAGCAAAATTTTGTTTCATGGAGCCCAACATATATTTACTTAACTCTTATTCTATAAAGTTCCTAAAAATTTTGAATGAAAAAACATCACAGTTACATTAATTCTAAATTACAATAAAAGTTGCATTACTACTGTGTATGTATTTTTCAAATTTATATACATTTTACAATAAATTTTGTATTTGGACAAAAGTTTCTCTTGGTCTAACAATGACTTTTTAGTGATTATTACATTTGAAAATGCCTTCAAAACCAGAATAGTTTTGCCCACAAAATTATTAAGCAAATCAATTAATCCTCCTGAGGATAAAACCTCTTGTTACAAAAAAGCCTAACTCCTGTGGCCCCTGCTGGTTCCCTCTGCTCCTAAGTGCAGCCCCCAGGTGGCCCTGATGGCAGGTGGTGTCCTCCTTGCCTGGGCTGTGACTATAAGTGATTAATAAGCCGTCACCAATCCCATCTGTCCAGTGTAACCTGTTATACATTCAGCTACCTCGTATAATTTGGGGTTGGGGATCCCTCCTTTGCCAATAAATAGAAGGTCATCAAAATGGACTGAGAGTTGGGCCTCTACATACTTTTTGACAATTTAAGTCTCACTAGATGGCCGCTGTGCCTTCACAAGGAAGCGAGACAAATGCTCACAGATAATCCTAAGATTATTCTCCCCCTTTGGCACTGTTGCGGGACTCTCCCAATTCACGTACAGTCCCAGTGCAGACTGGATGCTGAAGTCCTAGATCTCTATACTCTGAAACATAAGCACAGAAAATTTTCATCTGGCAAAAAAAAACATAGGTTGACATTAATTATCTATTACAAGTGTAAAAATCATCTCATTGAAGTACTCATTGACTATGCAAATCGAGGCTAATCAAATATTCTGAGAACCCTCTCAAGGTATCTACGGGCACCAGTCAGCCGGGCATGATTAAATGTGATTGCTTGATTTATGGGTTGCTGGGTACGACAGTTAAAAGTCGGAGGATATACAAAACAATGATTAATTCATTTTCGAATAATTGATCAGGAGCCATTTTTTCCCTATAGCGATTTATGTTACTAGTGTTGGGGAAAATAAATAGAAGAAAATCTCCTGCCAGCCCAGCATACCTTCTCCACAAAGGTAAAAAAGGATCAAACAGTTCTATTATTGAATAACCATTAAACCAGACTGTGACACACATGACAAGAAATCCAATAAAGGGATTGCAAAGACAGAAAGAAATTTCATCCTTTTTGATAGCCAGACAGCTATAACCCATTCCATACATGTTCTTAAGATAAATTGTATCGTCATCAAGTGTGGTGAATTGACAGCACTGTTTGGTACATATAGCTCATCCAAGATTCACCTGGCAATCGAGTGGCCACTTGTGTTACTTAATTGCCTTTATGCAGAGGAAAAATAAAACATCTCCTGCCTCTATGGAAGGCTGGCTGTTCCAACTTGGAGCACTGGTGCCTAGGTTAAACTCCTGTGGAGACAGGCAGAATGAGATGCTGTTTTCCTCGTCGTTTACATTTTAAATAGACAGCTCCAAGGCCCTTAAGAAAAAAAAAAAAAAAATTCTTAGACGATATAGAACAGGCAAGAGGTTTATTTAACTTTTTGAAAAGGGTTACATGCATCTCCAAGGGACAGAGAAATAATTTTCAATTACAAATTTTCTGAAGAAAATTCTCTAAGAAAATGGAGGGTTGGGAAGTCTCCTTCCCCTTTGGCACCAGGGAAAATTCTATTTTTTTTTTTTATTGTATTCACTCTTATATAGAACAACACAATGACATGATTTCTCTTTATCATGTTTTGAGTATACTAAAGGGGGATGCTTTATCTTTTTTATAGTAGGTGGCAGAGGGAAGCACACAACCAAAGTGGCATCCAATCTGATACAGCAGATGAAAATTCCCCTTTCTCATCTGAGAATTGTTATCTGCTTTCCCAAGACATTATTTCTACAAACTCTGAACCTGGTAAGAGCCTTAAGATGTACTTTCAGCCTAATCATAAATATCACTAGATAATTCCGATCCAATGCAATTTACTGTATGACTGCAACCTGACCATTGTTTTAGTAAGGTTAGCCCGGATAATGCTGTGGTAGAAAACTAATGCTGAAATCCAGGTAGCTTGAAATCACTTAGTTTCTTCTAGTTCATGTCACACTTTCATTGCAGGTTGGCTCAGGGGATCAGTTCTACGTTAGCCCTCAGGAACCCAGGGTCATGGAGACCCAACAATATTGTAGCTGCACTCTCTGGAGTATGTGGGCCAGAAGAGATAGCTAAGGGATCACATGCCTGCTCTTAAAGAGTTCAGCTTAGAAGTGAAGGTATCACTTCTGACCACAGTCTATTGGCAAGTACTTGCCATGTGGCCCCATCTGACTCCTGGCTGGGCAATGTCGTGGCACAGCCTGGATGCCGGTTTCTGTCCAGCCCCCCTCTCAGCTGCCATGCTCTTAGGAAAAGAGTCACCTGGCCTCATCCAGTACTGGGTCTCCTTCCCCATGGCAGCCTGTATACAGTGACTGCTTGGTGGAGGTGAGGGAAAAAGGTCCCAGTCTCTATTCCATTTCCAACATCTCTGAAGACCCATCACAGCACCAGAGTTTCATAGGATGGCCAATTCTATTGTGCATCTTCTCTCTCTGCCCACTTGCCCTTTCACCACAGGACCTGATCCCAAGAGCATTTCCCAACAAATTTTCTGCAAGCAAATCTTTGTTGCAGAGTCTGCTTCCCAGGGACCATGACCTGTGGGCCACAGCCTATATTACAGACATCAGAATGTTTGTTAAAAATGCAAATGACTGGTTTTTATCCCACGCCTATCGAATTTAGAATATCTAGGACAGAGTCTGGGAATCTGCATTATTTAAAAGCACCCCAGAAAATTATTTTCCTCATTAACCTGACTCTAACAATGACAGTTGTAATTGCTTTGATCATGTACAAAATTGAAGAGTTGAAGTGGTGGTGGTGAGAGGAGGTGTTCAGAGAATTAGGAAATCTTATGCAATCTCTTCTGTCAAAATCATTTATGTTAAAATAGAAAAGTGTCTACAAGTAAACTCTATCAGGAATAAACAAAACCACTTGCAGAAACAAAGATTTTAAATGTACAGACCATGAAATGTTGGACTGCTATCAATTACATGAGCCAAATTAACATATTTAAAATAATTTTATATCTCACGTTCCTGATGCCAGAAATGTCCCACCTTGGCCACTCCTTTTCTTCAGTTTTTCTTTCTTCACAATTCTTCGGGAGTTGTGACCCTGAATGGCCAAATTGTCATGGCCCAGCTGAGAAGTCAAATCAGTTTCCAAAGCCATTATTCTTCCTGGAAACTGACATTATTGAAGTGGGTACTAGCTAAAGTCTTTCATTAGGATAAATTATTTTTTCCATCTTCCTTCTCTTTGTTGTTCAGATCTAAATAGAAACTCCAAAACTCTCCATATATCAAGAATTAACCCATTAAGCACTGGCTTGTAGAGAAGCACATGGTAGCAGGAAGTGAAACAAAAAATGTGTGCTCCTTATACAATTATCAAAAATCCCTCCGTATTTTAAATTCAGTAGAAAACGATCATATAAGCCCTACAATCAACAGACAGCACTATATATAAAGACTCACGTTGTCCAGTCTGTTCATACACCGTTGTTGACATTCTCAACCCTTCCTGGCTGGATCCAGGGACCATGGGCTGATTGGAAATGTTCCCATTACACAATAACACAAGAGCAAATGGTATTTCCATTGCATCAAAATACCGATTGTAAGACAAACAAATGACTCGTTTTTATGATGATTTTACTTATCATTAATTTTTGCATTAAATTTGACTTTAAAAATATTACACTCAGGGCTTCCCTGGTGGCGCAGTGGTTGAGAGTCCGCCTGCCGATGCAGGGTACATGGGTTCATGCCCTGCTCCGGGAAGATCCCACATGCCGCGGAGCAGCTGGGCCCGTGAGCCATGGCCGCTGAGCCTGCGCGTCCGGAGCCTGTGCTCCGCAAGGGGAGAGGCCACAACAGTGAGAGGCCCGCGTACCGCAAAAAAAAAAAAAAATTACGTTCAATCATTACTTTCTTGATTACTTTGTTTTCTGGAGCCCCCAAAGATTTTGTGTATGAGATGAGTGTCTCATTTCCCTCACCCTCATCTCAGCCCTGCTGCCAGGGCTCATTACTTTTATATACAGGGACTCATTGAGCAGCCCCTGATATCTGATACTTGTCTTATTTAAAAGCCATAGTGATGTAGTAAAAAGAGCACTAAATTAGCAGTAAGAAAACTTAGGGAATGGTTCCATCTCTGGAACTCTGAACTTGGAAAACCATAGATGGATTTATCTTTAATTTAGTCTTTTTTTTTTTTAATTTGCAAAATGAGAATAATTGTAACTTGTTTCTTAACCTCACAGTGTTCTTGGAGAATGAGATGGGTTGAGGAGTATGAAAGCACTCTGAAAAAAACGGGGGTTTTGGCCCATAAAGACACCCAAACCATTCTTGTTGCTAGTTTTGTAGCACAGTGTTTGAAGCGTATTTTATGAGCGTGTGAATAGAAAGAAAGCATTCCAGCTAGATGGCCCAGTGGCTGCTAACTGAAATTCCTTTCTCCTTATCACTTCCTCCTCTAAAGCCATATGTTCCTAATTCTCATGCCCTTGGACCAATAAAAACTAGGATTTGGGTGGTAGTATTAGAGACGCGTTTCTGAGACTGTACACCCCTAACCTACACATACGTATCATCTGGAAGCTTCTTAGAAATGCAGATTCTCAGACAACATCCAATAAATTGGGGGTTTCGGCCAACAGTGTGAGTTTTCACAAGGCATCCATGCGATTCAGATGCGGGTTAATGCTGAGAACACTGGCCCGGAGGACAGGAAGGTAGGAGATGGATGTCAGTTTTGCCAAGCTGTTTCTCCAGACCTGGACCTTTGACTGTCCTTAAGAATTCTCATGAAATTCCTCTTTTGCCTTTGCCATTTCATCATGAATTCTCAGGCCACATCTTGTTTCTTATACTTTTTTTCACCTTTATTGAGATATTACTGATAAATAAAATTATAAACTATTTAAAGGGTACAGGGTAATGATTTGATACATGTATACATTATGGAAAGATTCCCTCCTGTTTTTTTTTATTATCCTGTTATTTCAGGGTCTCTTTTTTTTTTTTTTTTTCTATAAACACAGGTGTTACACAAAGACCACCTAGCACTGTTGAGTAAAAGTCATTATCCCTGGCTCTCAACTAGAAAAAAAGAATTTTTAACAGGAACATCTAGACTGATTACAATGAAACCATTTCTGCAGCACAATCTGAGTCATGCAGTTAATAGAGTAAGGCTTTTAAAAGTACAAGTAGTATACGGACACAGCTCAGCCAGCTGTTATTCAGTGCTATGAGTATTCAGTTCCATGAGTATTTAAATTCTGTGACAAGATTAGCAGGTTAAACATTGAAGAATTAACCCAGGGTATTGTCTTTCCTTCCTCCAGAAAATCCACTGAAACAAAAGGAAGTGAATAACAGAGACTTAATCTCGTAAGAGAAGGGAAATGAAAAACTCGGCTGTGTGGATGTTAAGGTATCAATTATATCTCTTTCTTGCCAACTGCAGTTCAGAGTCACTGAGAGAGAGTTCCAGGTTGGGGATCAGCTTTTCATGTTTAAAATTTAAAAAGCCACATTGAAAGAGAGGGCTTTGGAAAGCAACTAAAAGAGCTTGTTCAGTCTCCTTTGAGTCTAATGGGGCACCCAGACTGGAGGCTGGTACAGAGGGCAGACCCAGCTCCAAGACACTCACCAGGTCACCTAAGAGCAAACGGGAGCTGAGTGCACCCTTTGTGCAGCCAGAGAGAAGAGGTTGAGCTGAGCACACCCATCCAGTAAATCACAGACTCTTCTGAGGGGGGGGAAGTGAGGTCGCCCTCAAGAGAACAGAGTTGTGACTCAAATGGGTAGTACTGTTCCCTTAGTGGTGGTGCCTCAACTTGAAGACCTGAAACCAGGGGGATGAAGCCCACTGAGAAAACATTCCCCAGCAGCATTGTGTCTTAGCCTTAAACCATTTGAGTGGAACTATTGATCCAGTATCTTCCAGAAGGTGACTTTGTCCCTCATGGGAGGATGGTTGGTGGTGGGTTAAAACAGTCCTGCTTCTATCTTTTCTGAGGCAGATCCATCAAAACCAATCTTCCTAAGGTAATGGGAGGTTGATTAGATTTTGCTCATGGAGGCTCAGAAATGGGTCAGGAGAGTACATTAAGGACACAAAAGGCATATTAATTCTAAGGCTGAACTACCTTCAGGCTGAAATTTTTTTTTTTTTTTTTTTTTTTTTTTTGCGGTACGCGGGCCTCTCACTGTTGTGGCCTCTCCCGCTGCGGAGCACAGGCTCCGGACACGCAGGCTCAGCGGCCATGGCTCACGGGCCCAGCCGCTCCACGGCACGTGGGATCTTCCCAGACCAGGGCACGAACCCATGTCCCCTGCATCAGCAGGCGGACTCTCAACCACTGCGCCACCAGGGAAGCCCCAGGCTGAAATTTCACTCACGATTCTTTTTCCAAACCGTATCCAACCATATTGCCAACATTATCAAAGTATTAAATACATTTCTATAATAAAAAACCAACAACATAAAAATATCTCATATCTTGAACAGAGAGATTTTACCTCTCTGTTATCAAATTCTAAGGGAGTGATTAAAGTCCAAAGATTAAAATCCCATGTGCTAACCACTTTTTTTCTTGAAGAAATACGGTACTGAATTGTATGGGAAAAGATAAATACACGTGGATTTCTGTCTTTTTCATATCACTAAAACCGGTGGAGTGTTAGTTTGGGCTTGTAGCACATACCTTCCCAGTTCTGCATTCAGTGACATCACATTGATAAAATTATCCAGAGTGGGAATATTTACAGCATGGAGGTCATCAA